GTCGGGAATATATATATATATATATATATATATATATATATATATCACTGAACAGTTGGCGTCTGGTCGTCATAATGAAGTCGATCTCATTTTTGTCGAACCGTCGGGGCTCGACCAGGTTCACTTCCTGTGGGGCCGCTTCTGGAAGAAAGAGTTCATCATAAAGAGTCCCTCTTTCTCCATAAAGTCGGCCAGCTGCTGGCCCCCTTCGGTTCCGTTGCCCTACTCCAAATTTCCCCACCTTCAGCTCACCGCTTTCTCTTGTGCCCAGTTTTGCGTTGAAGTCTCCCATCAACACCGTGTAGTGGGTTTTGGAGGAATGCATGGCTCTGGAAATATCCTCATACATTTCCTCCACCTCCTCATCGGGATGTGCCGAGGTTGGTGCGTAAATCTGTATGACCTTCAGCGAATATCGTTTGGTGATTCTGAGTATCAGGTACGCGACCCTCGTCGACACACTCCCAATCTTTACAACGTTGTTGACGAGAGACTTGTGGACGATAAATCCGACACCTCCTTGGGACAGATGGTCGCCCTCCCGGTGGTAGAACAAGTTGCCGGACTCGAGGATTGCCGTATCCTCCCCCTCTCTTCGGACCTCGGATAATCCAATAATATGCCAGCGCAACTTGTCTCCCTCTCTATATATATATATATATATATATATATATATATATATATATATATATATATATATATAGCAGCGTTCGGGAAATTACGACACATCTTCTCATCAGGTATATCTCAATCTCTGAAAACTAAAGTGTAAAACCAGTGCGTGTTACCAGTGATGACTTACGGATCTGAGACGTGGTCCTTCACCGCTGGCCATATGAGGACGCTCAAGGTCGCTCAGCGAGCTATGGAGAGGGCTATGCTCGGAGTTTCACTGCGTGATAGACTCAGAACCAGAGTGACCGACATAGCCCAATGGATTAGTAAGCTGAAGTGGCAATGGGCCGGCCATATAGCTCAAAGAACCGATAACCGATGGGGAAGAAAGGTTCTCGAGTGGCAGCCTCGTACCGGTAGGCGTAGTGTAGGGCGACCCCCCACTAGATGGAGTGACGACCTGGTAAGACATGCAGGAAGTCGATGGATGCAGGTGGCTCAGGACCGTGCTTTGTGGTATTACCTGGGGGAGGCCTATGTTCAGCAGTGGACTTGTGAAGGGCTGTAATGATGATGATGATATATATATATATATATATATATATATATATATATATATATATATATATATATATATATATATATATATATATATATATATATATATATATAAGTTAATATAAGCGATAAAATCCGTAAAAACTAGTTTTATTAAGATACAATCCGACAATGATTATCATAAGAAATCATTGTTAAAACTACTTTTACGGATTTTGTCGCGTTTATTTTTTCTTACTTTTTATTTTTATTTTTAATTCCCGACGTTTCGGGCGCTTTCCAGCACCCATGGTCACGGGGGACTGAGATGACTGACGTCCCGATGTCATTGTTAAACCCGGAGTACCTTCAGCTTTTTTTTTAATTATTGTTTATGGTCCGATCTATGCAAAATGAACTGACTATGTCCTGAGGTCTTGCAGTGGTATGCTTGGGTTTAGTTTTAATTTTATTGATTATAGGATCCCAAGCAGGTGGTAGTACCCAGCCTCCTTCTCTATTGAAATCAGGATGTTTTTTAATTTCAATAGCCTCACGTATCATCCTTGGTAGGAATCGGTGTTCTTTCGCGAGGATTTGTGGTCTATCAAATCTGATGTAATGGTTGGGGCCGTCTAGGATATGATCACAAACTGCAGACTTCCCGGAATTCCGGGAAGTCTGCAGTTTGTGATCATATCCTAGATGTGCAATTAGTATAGGATAGTGCAATGTTCGCGTAAATATAAGAAATCATTAAGAAATCATTAGATGCTGTGGCTCCTACACGCGCACGTCCTCGATTAAAAACCAAAATGCAGTAGCTGACATTTTGTATAGACGAGCTCCTTCCTCAGTCTAGCCGACTTATACAAGGTGTCTCAAAAGAAAGTTCACATTTAAATCTTTTTTTTAAAAGAAAAGTCTTAGCTTTATTGAAAAAATGTTTATTTTATATTGAAGTACACTGTTTGGGAATTTATTTTTTAAAAATAACATTGTCCAAATGTAAACCGTTGCGCTCTCGGCATTCATTTAGTCGGGCACTAAAATTGCCTATGACAGCTCGGCAGGTAGTCTCCGTGATGGCTGCCATTTCATGACGGATATTTTCTTTTAATTGTGCCAGGGAAGTCGGTTTATTAGCGTAAACTTTTGATTTGACATAACCCCACAGGAAAAAATCCATAGGCGTTAAATCGGGACTCCGTGGAGGCCAATTTATGTCACCTCGCCAGGAGATTAATTTGTTCGGAAAAATTTCTCGAACTCGAGGCAGAGATCTGTTGGACGTGTGTGAAGTTGCTCCATCCTGCTGGAACCATGTTCTTTGGTTGTAACCAGGAAAGTTTTGCAGTTGGGGTACGAAAAACTCGTCTAACATCTCCACATAACGCTCTGAATTCACTGTGAGTGTGCGTCCCCTTCCATCTTCAAAAAAGTAAGGGCCGATAATTCCTCGCGCCGACATCGCTGCCCATACGGTGACTTTGGGTGAATGTAGCGGTTTCTGATGTTTTTGTTTTGGGTTGGTTGCACTCCAGTAACGACAATTTTGCTTGTTTACATGCCCATTCAGGTGAAAATGGGCTTCATCGGAAAACAAGATGTTGGTGAACGTTGGAAAGCGCTCAATCATCTGATTTACAAAGGCAAGCCTCTGACCAGCATCTTGAGGCTTCAGTTCTTGCACTAACTGAATTTTGTACGGGTGCAGCTTTAAATCTTTGTGTAAAATGCGGCATAATGAAGATCTGTGCACATTTAAAGCAACAGCACGCTTCCGAATCGAGAGGTTTGGATCATCTCGAATAGACTGAGTAACACTGTCCACGTTTTCGGCTGTTCTTGATGTTCTTGGTCGCCCAGATTTTGGTTTCTCCAGAGTTGACCCAGTCTCTTCAAACTTCTCAACCCATTTTGCAATGAGACGAGTGCTAGGCGCATCATTTAAGTGACGAATATGTCGAATACTGCAGAATTTTCTACGCGCTACAGTCGCCGAATTACCGTTTTTGTAAAACTCACGTACGCACAACGCACGGTCCGCACCAGAGAAACGCTCCATAGCGACTAAATTCCCAAGAGCCAGACTACCGACTGACATACCCCCCCGCGCCCCTCAGAATAGTTGCTTTCGCGTAATAAGATAAGCAAATGTGAACTTACTTTTGAGACACCTAGTATATGCTTAAGCTCAATGTACGCTGTACAAGTGACTCTTCCATGTAAAATTATAATAATAGTCATTTAATAAATTAAGTCATAAACAGTAATTTAAATTATTACTAAAGTCATTTAAAAATACAGCGTAACTTTTTTACAAATGCAATATAAAAAATTAAATGCAAATTCTCTTTTGTTTCAGGAAGAAATTCAATGCACAAGCGACCGGTTAGAAATGTAGTAAATAAAAGAAAGTATAGGACATGGATTGATAATTTTATGTTAGTTTGAATGCAAACAATGAGAAATATTATCGAATACTTCATACTATGTGCTCTGTAGTGATGTGTCGTTATCGATCATGATTGTGTCTCGAACGCAACTAGTGCTGATATTTGCTCTACTACATTATCGAGCCGAAAGTCAACAGGAAGTGCTTATTGAAGAATCGCGTGAGTATTTAAAATTGGATTTTAATATAAAGATTGATATGATGAAGATATTAAGAGACTATGGTCAAAATGCTGACAAGTGAAATACAGCGTGGCAACACGCTATATTCAACTTGTTAGCATTTTCATAGACACGTGAGTATTTAGTAACTGTGTCATAATATAAATATCGTAAAGCCATAAATGTATATAATATTAGGCCTCATATTATGATACTATGGTTGAAATACTGACAAGTGAAATATATTGTGGTAACACGCCATATTTCATTTGTCAGTATGAAACATACTTTACATACTCTCCCTAACTGCCTCTTTGGTCTAGTGGTTGTAGTGGCGCGACTTTTCTCGTCTTTTTTCGACTGCCTCGTTGGTATACTGTTAATAAGCGCAACTTGTGATCATGAGGTCCTGGGTTCGAAACCCGGGTCGGGCGAAAAAAAAAGCCGTTGGTCCTGCGCCTGATCTCACTCCAGTCGTGTCGGTTTACCATCTCATCAAAATATAAGAGTGATGGAATAGAGAGTGCACCTGTGCTTGCGTATACATTTGGGCACTTTAATCCTGTCCTGCGTCGATGACTAGTCTCCGTTGAGGCTGACCGCCGTGACCGAAGTTCCGTCTGGGGGACAATATTATTATTATTACTCTTCCTAAATATAGGGAAACAGTCATCACTGCTATAAATGTCTAATCTAACAACATGTCCTTGATCAGAATAAGTTGCTACGTAGTTGTATGCATGTTTTATTTTCTTATTTATATGTATATTGTCCTTAGGTATTATGGTTTTGTGACAAATTTGTTTATTAACTATTGTAACTTTGCTTTATCTTAAATTAATATAACAGTGTAATGCTGTGTCACCTAGGGTACTCAAGTCAGTACCTAGATTAAGCATACTATAAAAATGTCATAATCTATGTACTGTTGAATCCTATGAATAAATAAATAAATAAACAAAGGTACATAAATTAAAAAAAAAGTGGAAAGCGAATGGGGTTCAGCAGTAAAAGTTGTAAATGATGGTCCTACATTATGGTGGATAATGAGGCGGATTATTAAACGAGGTAATCACGACAAATACTCTGCCTCTGCTGGGCACAGCCCTCCTCTGACTTTTGAGAGGGTTTAAGGGCAAGTAAGTGTCCACCGCGCTGCTGCAATACGTGTTGGCGGATTTCACGTCTTATAATATTTTTATAATATATAATATTATATATAATATTTTTTTAATTCTTAGACATGCAGGTTTGCTCAATTCAGCACTTAAAATTTCAATTAAAAATTTTATAGGTACAAGCGGGGTTCGAACCTGAATTGCTTGTGTACTGTGAAATTTACAGCGAGCGCTAAGCCCCTGACTTACCACGGCTCTAAATACTATTTACTATGACAAAATTCTATCCAGAAGCTGATTGTGTACAAGCTGAAGAGAAGAAGCAATAGAATATTTTTTTCTTATTATAAGCTAATGTTTGACACCTGACAGTAAGCTGTAATAAAGCTCTATATAGTAACTTAGCGTAATTAAAGCTTATTCACTACACACATTCTTGCTTTGAAGACCTTACATTGTAATAGTTTTAAAAATATGAAACGAAAAGACATACGCCGGCAAATGATTCCACACCCTTGCGCACAGGAATGGTAACAAAATGGATTTAATCTAATACTAAATTATTTCATATGTATTTGGTATATGGCGTAGTGTGTATATTAAAACCTCGTGAGAAACCACGAATGATAAAAGAAAAAACAATTAACGTAATTACACTGCTATTATTTAAACAATTACACACAGTTTTAAATGCAAACATAATTTGATAGTTAGTAATTTTGTTTTCTTTCTTTTTTCGATTGCCTCGTTGGTCTACTGTTATGACGACACATCGAAAACGCTATTTCTGTACTGATCCGAATGAATACATAATTTCTATAAAAACTTGAAGAAACGCAGTCATAAGGTCTAAAATTGCGTAGCGCCCGCGACGTTTAAAAACGCTTAGAAATTGTCAGAATCTCAAAATATTTTTTAAAAATTATTGATTTAAGTTATCAAAATAATGAGCAAGTAAATTATGAATATTGATGTTATGAATATATTTGAGTGATTCCCAAATATATAGATCAAATGATTTCGTTGTAATTTCAACTATAGTGATTTTTTAGAGGTGTTTTCGCAAATAATTACGATCGAGTCAAAATTATACAATCGTGTTTTTGAGCAATCAAATTCAAGATAAAGACATGAATTTACCTATATCAAAATCCCACTTTTGTTAGTGATGTCATAGTCCTATACTATTCGATGAAAGGAGGTGCATTTTTTCACGGTGTCGCCTTAATAAGCGTAACTTGTGATCATGATGTCCCGGGTTCGAAATTAGAGTGAGGCCAAAAAGTTAATTAATAGATTAAGGCGTTACATTGCGATTTTCTTTCGTTGTTGTTATTAAATCTCCGTTGAGAATTGTCTGCGTGACCTCTGGGGGACATATTATTATTATTCTTTGCTTTTAAAGGTATGCGGAATGGATAGAAGTTAAACGTTCTAAAGCCATGCTGCAGCTATGTTATGATCGCAGCAGAAATGGATCTGCTCGACTGAGGCTTGCTCTCCACGCTCTCATAAGTTACTAGCATAAAATAGTAGCTTAATGTGGCTGTGTTCCGTATGGTGAGTGCAGAGAACTGGAGACCCTTTTTCTGGTAAGAAGCATCCCACCAAAAACATTCTGTAAAAAACTAGCCAAGTCTCGATGGAGCTGCTTCTTTATCTCTAAAAAGTAATGAAATCTAGACAAAGTCGTGCCAAGTCTAAAGTTCATTACTGCGATTTCTTTATTATTATAGTTAATGTTGTGTGACATGGCCGTTGAAGGGTACACAAGGGTACAAAACCAGGTGCTACATGACACCCTAGCACCAATCTGTCGCCAGAGCCGCTACCCATTGACGATGGAAAATTGCCACTTGGAAAACGTTGATTGAATAACCAGTCAATTGTAGGCTTTGTAGCGACGTGTGCGGGTATCACCGCCACTCTTAGTCCAATGCATTATATTTTGACCAAATTTTGAGCGAAATTAATATTTTAGTGTAATTTGTCTATTTAATTTGAGTAATGTTCGAGTAGAATAAGGTTAATCGTTCGACTATTTTTTCTTGTAAACTTGTAAGTATAAGTATAAAAGCCAATCTAGTGTTATCCAGAGTTTTCCTTTAATTTTATTTATATGCGTATTAAAAGCAGAAGGGGAGGCATTCGCCCAGCAGTGGAACGCTATAGGCTAGATTAAATTAGATGATGTGTCCCACTATGCTGGATTTTTGCAATGACAGTAGATTTTTATATACCAATGGTAGAAGGGGGCATAACCATATCTCTAATACAGCTGAGACCAGCTGAGGGTTCTTCATCAGATACTTTAGACCTTCGATTTTTGACATCAAATGAAGCTGCCCACCAACTTGAATATTTTTTGTAGAGGCGGTATGTTGATCTCTTCTAATAGTTTGGTTGGGCTTTTGTGTTTTCTAATCAGGGTCACCAGGTACACCAGATGTTCAATTAACCTAGTTTTTATAGTTTTCCCTTTATGTGGCCATTAAACCCTAACTCTGTACCAAATTTCAGCTCTCTGAGTTTATGAGAAGTACTAGTTCTATTCTGATGATCATGAGTGAGTGAGTGTTCGCTTAACTTCGGAACTAAATGACCTACAGACTTAAAATTTTGGATTTTAAGTATGTGATTATAGTTTACTGGATGACGAAAATTTCTGCGTTCTGGTACTATCCAGAGGTTCTCAAATAGGGGCCTGAAAATGCGGCGAAATGGTTATAGTAAAGGATGGTACGGCAGTGTTTGCTTCGCGCTCGACTTGGTGGGGGCACTGCCGTGCCCCCCCCCCCCGATTCTTAGTCCTCAGGGGCAATAACGCGTCTATATTTTGATTCTTATTCGAGAACAGATGTATGTGTCTAATTATTATAATTTATGTGGAATAAAACATAATCTATTATTTTCTATACAAATATAGAGATAGATGACCTTAATCCTGTTGTATGATTGATGATATAGCACAGGCACAGAGGTTCACATTACATCCATTACACGATAAAGAATGATTTGTGTTCCCCACAAGTATTGATTCAACTAGGCGACAAAGGAAACAAAGTCAGAAATGATGTTTTGTTTGTAACTTGTTTTAGAGCTGATATTTAAATAAAACGAAATTAAGTAATTCATTGCATAAAATACAATATAATGAAAGGTTATTTTTATGAGTTACAACTGTTAATTTCAATGTACGCGGGCAAACCAGATTCGATTCACGCCGACACCAATGAAATTGTTAATTGCAATTTTAAGTGCTAACTACGTGCTCGGCGTTGAAGGAAAACATCGTGAAGAAACCTGCATGTCTGAGAAATAGAAAGATATTTCGAAGATATGCAGTTCGCCAATGCGCATTGTGGCAGCGCAGTGGACAATTCATTGCCCTTGCCCAAGCCCTCTCAGAAATGAGGGGAGGCCTGAGCTCAGCAGTGGGACGTATAGTTGTAACTTTTTATGAGTAATAAAATAATTCAATTGCTTTATTTTTAATTTCAGGGATAATTTTTTAATCGTCAGATTAAAGTTATCAATTAAATAAGTTTAAAAGGAAATAATAGTAACATTTTATTCATTCAATTATTATTTTTAATTTGTTTGTATTGTTTTTTTATGCTCGTACCATGATTTATTTTGTCTAAAAATTCAAAAATAAGGCCTTAGGTTATAATTTATTTGATGTAACGGTTAAAAATAATAAATTAATACCACGCGAGAAAACAAAATTTTACACGTTTTTAACCGATTTGATAAAGGAGGAGGTACTCAATTCGACTGTATGTTTTTATGTGTGTTACTTCAGAATTTTTTTCTACGTGAACTCTTCTGTGATTCTTTTTTATTTGAAAGCTGGTGCTGTTCATGTGATCCCGTATAAA